AAGTTTGCGAAGAGCGACACGAAGAAGTAAAGAGAAAAGGGTGGTAGTAAAACAACAGTGTGCAGAAGAAAAGGGTGTATGAGGATGTCGTCACGTTCATAAGTTTTCGTCGTTTCCTCCCGTGAATGTTTTTCCACTTGAAGGTAAAGACCGTCGTCAGCCCACCCAACCCACTCTTCATCGACCGTGGTAGAGACGAGAAGTGGGGTATAGAGATGGGGAATATGCAAAAGACACGATCCAATTCCCGCGAGGCATCCTGAACGAGGGAGACGAGCTCGATCGCAAAAAGAGGTATCCAGAGTATGTATGTATACGCGTCGAGTCGAGCCTCGTTGGGTGTATTCTCCAGGATAAAAAAAGATGGTGTCCGGGGTGTGTGTTCGTTGGTGGATTAGGATCGGTCGAGGAAGAGTGCAAGGGGGAAGAGCGACGGCAAAGGGGAAAAACACGGTGGTCGAGAAGGTCGGATACTTTTATTAGCAAGGTGTGCTTGGTATAGTATTAGGATGGGAGCAGCAGCAAGAGGGAGGAGGTTGGAGGATGATGTTGATAGATAGGGAGGATGGAGGAGGTTGAGCAGGCAAGGAACAGATGCGATGGGAGCTCGGCGAGTCCAAGTGGTTTCTGTCCGATTGCAAAAAAAAAAAATGATGGGGACGAGCAAAGGTTGAGCTTGGCCGTGAAAGAAGTGTGCGTTGCGTTGCGTGCGAGTGATCGATAGGATCCGCAAGATTTAAATATAGAAGTTGAAGAACGAGCATTGAAGATAGGGGCTTGGCATATGACGTCGACGTCGACGAGTTGTGTGTGGACGAACGAGTAGGAAGGAAGGGAAAAATTTGAGGCTTCCTCCCCTTCTGTGTGCCGACGAACGAACCGATAGATTGATGGATGGGAGCAACGAGCAAGCATAGGAGGGAGAAGCCAAGATAGTGGCTTGGGACCTCATAATAGAGATTGGGGAAGGTGAGGAGGTTGGTGGGGATTGGGCGGTGCGCGCATCGGGCCCAAAGGACCGAAAAAACGGACGAAAACAAAAAGCGTTGTTTCGAACGAAAATAAAACAAAAAAAAAAAATCGATGATAAGAGGGGGGAGATAAATTTTGCTCGAGAGGAGGTAGGTGTAAAATGAGCGAATTGACGATCCCACTCGCCCTCATCGGCCATTCGCAGCTTGTCAGCTAAACGGCAAAAAAAAAATAGAGGGGGAACGCCCCGCTCCCATCGCCCGTGGAGATACGATCTCCCGAACGAAGAGTGCTGCGTAGCCGAGGGGCGGTCAATTCTCGAAAGTGCTAAACCCCACACACTCGTTCATCGATAACATATGATACGCTCCCCGTTAGGCCCCTCCCTCCCTTTTTGGCGCTTCCTCTCTGTCTCTGTTTTCAATAGAGCCAAATACGACCGACTCTTCTTCGGGACAGTGAAAAGTTTGGGATTGGCGGATGAAAGAATACGATAGAAGGAAAGGGGGCGTGGCCAATTCGGATAGTGTTTTTCTTGTTTGTGTATTGTTTAATTTTTTGAATTCGTGTCCATGTGAGTGCGGGGTGACTGGCGTGTCGGACATTAGGACGAAAAGAGACGCGCGCGCATTGAGGGACAAGAGTCATGAGTGCATCGTAAAGGAGTAGGTAAAGGGTTGTTGCTCAATAATGGGGAGAGGAGAGAGAGGTTCGCATCGGAGGCAGCGGCGTTCATTTGATTCTC